GGTGTAATCACTGTGAGGACTAACGGACCCTTTGAAACATCCAGAGTGTGCTTAGGGTGATCGGATTTCTAAACTCCATCCCCCCTCCTGCCTTCCACCCCCTGCCATGGACTGTCCATGTGCCAATCTCCTAAGGTTCAGAGGACTGCTCTGAGTGACCCACTCAGGAGGACAGGCTCTGTTCTCAGGAGGGCCCTCCTGCTGTGGCACAAACTGATCGAAGGTTTTTGTTCGGTTGTTTGTCTGCCACTCCCTTTGGCCTTTCACCATCCATCATTTTCAGTGTGACCAGAGTACATGCTCCGTGCTGTCCGGTTTCTCCTACGCCACCTCATTGCCGTTCTACGGACTGTTTGTCTCGGCTGTTCATTGTTTCCTGTTGTCTTCTCAATTTGGATGGAGCCTGCACATGGCCTGAGAGTTTTGTCTGTTGTTTGTTTGTTGCTGGCTGTGTTCTTAACAGTTAGAACAATGTTCTGTACTTAGCAAGGGTTTTTTTTTTTTTTTTTTTTTTTTTGGTTTTAGGAGACAGGGCTTCTCTGTATTGTTTTGGAGGCTGTCGGTGCAGCCTGGCCTTGAACTCACGGAGATCTGCTTGCCTCTGCCTCCTGAGTGCTGGGATTAAAGGCATGTGACACCACCGCCCAGCTTAGCAAGGGTTTTATAAATATTTGTTGAACGAGTGAAAAGAAACCTTGGGCTTTTGTGATTCTTTCCCCCTCAAAAAGAAGATCCAAGTTGCTTCATGAATGGTGACTTGCTGTAGAATATTATTTTAGCTGTGTAAAGGTGTGTTACATTTGTTTATGCTGCATTTGTTTAACAGTGTAAGAATGTGGTCATTATGAAAAGATGTGTTACATTTGTTTCATCTTGCCTGCCTAGGGCACCTGATTGGTCTAATAAAAAGTTGAGTGGCCAATAGCTTGGCAGGAGAGGGATAGGTGGGGCTGGCAGGCAGAGACAATAAATCGGAAGAGAAATCTAGACTTGAAGAAAGAAGAATGAGAGAATGAGAGACACGCTAGGGACCAGTCACCTAGCTGGCCATGGAGTAAGAAGGAAAGAAAGACATATAGAACAAAGGTAAAAATCCCACAGGCAAAATGTAGAAGAGAAACAGGATAATTTAAGGCAGGAAAGCTGGCTAGAAATAAACTAAACTAAGGCTGGGCATTAGTAACTAAGAATAAGTCTTCGTGTCTTTATTTGGGAGCTGGGTGGAGGCCCCCTAAAAAGAAAAGGTACAGACAGGGGCTACCTGAAGGATGCTGGAGATCTCATTATGTTGCTTCTAGAATACACAGGGATGACATTCTAGGTGTGAGAAGTAGTTGCTGGAGATATTATATACATGGGACGGGTTTGAACCATAAGACTCCTGTGAGGTGGACAGGCCCAGTAATCTCTTCTGTTGTCAGGCTACATCACTTGTTGGTTTCGTATGATACACAGCCTTGTAGCTTTAATGAAGTATCCTCCACTCTTTAGCCTTTGTAGATGGATATTCCAATCATCTATAAAAGAATCACATTTGTCTGTGACTAGCAGACACCATACAGAAAGTACTGTAAGTGGGGCAGATGGGGCAGTGAGGGGTTGCTGGAACCCCCACAGACTGTTTAGTACTCCTTACATCTCCCTTCTCCCTCATCCCTCAACTACTGCTTCACTGTTGTAAGATAAACACTGAAGCTCCATCTAGGCAGTCTTCATTTCAAATAGCAAAAAGGCTAAGGTTAATAAGAACCAGGTAAAAGAATGATTAAATGAGCCAGGCATTTGTGGTGCACGCCTTTAATCCCAGCATTTGGGAGATAGAGGCAGGTAGATCTCTGTGAGTTTGAGGCCAGCCTGGTCTACAGAGCGAGTTCCAGGACAGCCTCCAAAACCCTGTCTCGAACCCCCCCAAAAAAAGTCTAAAAAAAGTAAAAATAAATATAAGGTGGAGAAGCTATTGAGGAAGATACTCAGTCTTGTCCTCTGGCCTCCTCATGTGCATGAACACATGCATACATCGCATGCCCACACACTCCCCCCACACCCACACCCCCCCCACACAGAGTCTAATACTCCTTTGCTTTAATGGGATTTTTAGCCAAATTGCATTTAATGAAGTTATCAATTCACCTAGGATTAATCTACCAGTTTATATGTTCACTTGTAAAGAAGAGGATGCTCTTGGTTCCAGGTAGAACACTATGAAAAATGGATGTAACATGGACTATGGACTAGATGCGAAGTCTCTCTCTGTCTCTCTCTCTTCCTCTCTCCTTCCCTCCTTCCTTCTCCATCCACCATCGTCTTCTGAACCATGGATCTGTGACTTTAACTATCTTCTTTTCACTAGGAACATGATTCTAGGTTCAGTCGAGAGGATTATGCAAGGTAGAAACCAGAAATGTGGTCCACTGGGAGCCATGTTAGAAACTGCCAGTCACATTTAACTTTCCGTCACTGTTAGTGAGTGAGTGAGTGGAAGAATTAGTGATTGAGTGAGCAACCAAATGAGAGAGTGAATGAATGTCTGAGTGTGTGAATGAGTGAGTGTGTGAATGAGTGAGTATGGCAATGAGTGGATGAGCAAGTGTGTGAGTGTGTGAATGAGTGAATATGAGTGTGAATGAGTGAGTGTGTGAATGAGTGGATGACTGAGAATGTGAGTGAGTGTGTGGTGTGTGAACGAGTGTGTGAGTGAGTAAATGGATGAATTTGGGTAGACATCAAGGAAGAATGGAGGCAGCAAAGGCAGAAAGGCTTCCTGTGCGCACCAGCAAGCCAGGGGCTTCATTTTCCAGACTGCTGGCTTCCGTTCTGACTCCATCTTCTTTCACCTGTGGACAAATGCTCAGAGAGTTATGAACTGTTTTTGGAGGAAAAGCTGAGCAATTTTTTAATTTTTGAAAAACACATTTCTTCCCACTCGTACGGCTGAAATTAGGCTGAACACTCCTGTGCTGGAATTTTCCAGTCCCTTTTCATTTCCCAAACAGAGAGGCAGCAAACAAAGCAGGGGCTTGTTCCTCAGGGAGGAAGGAGCTAGGGCTGTGGCATACCTTTTGTGTGCTCAGCATGAGCTGGCCAGAAGAAATAAAAACATGAGATACTCTCCTCCAGGTGGCTGCAGGGACCCTAGCAGCCTTTGGGACAACAGTGGGACGTAGACACTTTGGCCTCAGTTGATTTGAGGTACATGGGTGTGCTGTCTGAGATCAAGAAGAGGCAGGCTCCTGGGGCTAAGGGGGCTAGAGCTCAACCTGTGACCACGAGCCGTGCTAGGACTGTATTGAGCATTGCCGATGGGAACTGGGAGGAAGGGGACATAGGAACCCGGGGAACGTGGGGATTAGGCTGGTGGTACCATAACAGATCTGAAGAAGCAGAGGTGCAAACTGACCGCTCAGAAAATAGTGAAGATGTAGGCCTCTTGAGGTTTAGTGGGTATGTTTAATGGGTCCTGCTTCTCAGAGGGAACTCGAGGAAAGCATTCCCTTCTGAGGGGCAAACTCACTCCTGGGAGCAAGGCTAAACAGCTGGCTGCAGCAGCTGTGAGGGGCATTGGGGTGGGGCTGTATCAGGCCTCCTCTGGATCGGGAAAGCTGTTGAGAAGACACAGGGGCCTTGGATGTGGCCGCCTGGGGGAATGACAGACCTCCCCATGACTCTCGGCCTGCTTTAGGATCAGGACCACATCCATCGCAGGAGATGAAGCATGACCCCTCTCACATGTGCTCACTTCCTTCTCTAGCTCCGCATCTCTGCTCCATTTCTTTCCACTTACGCTGTTGGACGCAATGCACGCTGTACTTCAGTTATTTTTCCCACGCACAGTTTTTGCTCACACTAGAATGCAAGGCCAAGATTCCCAGAGGTTATAAAATTACCCGGCACGCAGTAGACTCCAGGTATCCGTTGTGTGGAAGAGAGCGTTGATAACACAGCTGAAACCTGGTCTCAAACTGGCAGGCTCTCATCACTCAGCTTGACTGGCTCAGGAGAACAGTGGAATGGACGTGTTCCCCTGTCCACAGCCAAGGTCGCTGTGTGTGTTTGTGTTGCGGGTGGGTGTGACTTGCAAAGCCAAGCTTTCTCTTCCTGGGTGCCAGGAAAAACCGCAGGTGTCAGAGTCCAGCAGCAAACTTCCCACATCTCCGAATAAGAGCACTGGGTCAGATTGCCTGTCCCATCCCCGCATTCCCTTAGGCTCTCCATCTCCTCCATGCCCCTCCGCCAGCCTCGTGGGCACCGTGGCCACCTCCATATGAGACTCTTGAAGGAATGGTGGGTAGAGCTGGTGTTTTTCCTTCTAACACCCACTCCCAGCTCTACCACACACTAAGGAAAGTGGAATATGCTTCACTTTGCTCGGTAAGGGGGCCATGCTCCCTCTTTCCTATTTTCATGTGGTGACCAGAACCCCTTGGATTTCCTGGAATTTATATGAAGAATTCCAGCTATTCCAACTGTAATTTTCATACTCAAAGCTCCTTCCAACAGACTTGGCCATCTGGGAGGCAGCCTCTGGGATGGAGAAAGCTTGTGCTCCTGAGCTTTGGTGGCCTGGTAAAGTCCTGACTCCCCCTTTGAACTCTTGGCCAGAGTTCAGAGTTTGATTCTACCCCCTCCTCCACACATATATAAAAAGCCGAGTGTGGTGATATGTATTTGTAACCTCAACACTGAAGTAAGATCCAGATCTCAGTGAGAGATCCTGTCTCATAAAATAGGTGGTTGGCTCCTGAGGAACATGTGTGTATGTGTGTGTATGCATGTATATGCCCTCACATATTCACACACATGCTCATTCACATGCACACACATGCATAGACACACATACACAACACACATACACATGCATGCACACACTGGAATACACACATGCACCTTACCCTACTAATTTCAGATGTATTCTGCTTCAAGTGACAACAAATTTGACAGTGGTTCCTTAAACAAATTGGTGCCTAATTCACTGATTTAGAAAAAAGAATGGCAGTCACTGGTGGTTTTAGTTTATTTAATTAACAATGTGCCCATAATTCCAAAATGCTTCTCTCTTTCTGGTCCTCTAGGTTTAGTCAGATGGCTTTCACTTTTCAGCTTGCTTTTTCCGCAGTTATAAGTTGGCTGCTAATTGTTCCAGACAATGCACCACTTCAAGGCAGGAAGTCAGATGTGAATGGAGCATAAGTTTTCTTAGAATACCCCTCCACTCTCCACAGACTACTGCTTGTTCACATTGTCCAGAACAGGCTGACATAGCCACACCTAGCTGCAAGAGAGTCTGTTTCATCAACTAGGGCTGGACATAGTCTCATTCTTCATAAAACCAGGGCCCTGTTAGCAAAGCTGAAGAATGGGTGTCATGGCAGACACTGTCATCCACATTTAGTTCTCTTACCTGAAAAGAGAAAGAACGCTAAGATTGTTGTGAGGATCATATGGTGTGAGGTATAGATAGTACCCAAGACTGTGCTTGGCCCAGTTAAGTGCTAGACAGAAGCAATACATTGTTTTCCCTCCAATCAATGTCTTCCTTGACAGGGTCCAAGGAAATGTCTTCATTGTCCATAAGTCTGTGCAGTGCACAGTAGAATTAGTTCTCTCTCCCTTGGCATTGAGTCTTCCCCACTCTCCCTTGTCCTCCCCTGACCATAAGATAGCTCTCAGTTGATACTGGAGAGCATGCCTTGTGTTCTAGAAGCATTTCTGTAATAGAGAACAAGGCCACAAGTAACAAGCAAATAAACAGGAACAGAGACAATTAAAGTCAGTGAGCAGCACCATGCAGGAAGTGAATGGGTTGAAGGGCTGCAACACCTAGCAGAAGGAAGTCTCTTTGGTAGGGTGGCCCGGGGGGTCTTGATGAAGTGACTCTTCAGGAACTGAGTTTTATAGGAGGATCTGGAGGCTCCTAGAGGAGGCAAGCAGCAGCAGCAGCAGCAGCAGAGGCTAGCGGACTGAAGAGTGCAGGCTTCCCCAGAGGGGTTAGGCCTTGCAGAGTTTCCTGAACTGGGCAGGAAGGTATGAGATCCTTCTTCGAGGTGCCAGAAGAGGCAGGGGCTCCAGAGGCCGAGGCTGGGAGCCTGGATTTTGGTTTAAGTGAAGTGTGGAGCCATTGATTGATTTAAAAAGGAGGAGGAGGAGGAAAGGAAGAAAAGGTTGATTTATTTCTGAGACAGAGTTTCACTACACAGCCCTAGGCTGGTCTGGGATTCACCCTGTAGACCAGGCTGGCTTCAAATTCATAGAGATCTGCCTACCTCTGTCTTGAAGTGCTGGGATTAAATGCCAGACTTGAGTGTGTGTGACTCTGTGTGTGTTTGCTTGTTTGCATGCATGCATGAGAGAGAGAGAGAGAGAGAGAGAGAGAGAGAGAGAGAGAGAGAGAGAGAGAGAGAGAGAGGCCACATGCATACAGGTGCCCATGGAAACCAGAAACGGGTGAGTTCCTTGGAGCTGGAGTTATATTGTTTGTGAGCAGCACATGTGGGTGCTGGGAACCAACCTAGGTCCCCTGGAAGAGCAGTCTATGCTTTTAACTGGTGAGCCGTTTCTCAAGGCCCCCAACACTGATTTTTACCAAAGGAATGATATGATCAGGTTTAAATTTTAAATGATCACTCCAATTGTTCATTTAGTCATCCAACTTCTGTTTGCTGGGCATTAGGCACTGTACTAAGGCACTAGGGATAGATACACAGTGGTGTACAAATCAGGAAAGTCTGCCAGCATGGGTGACTAGGCAACCCTGTTTTCCAGTAATTGCCTTGCTGAGATCACCCTGTAAGGATGGTTGTTATTCATGGGGCATTGTCCCCAAAAAGGCAGAAAACAAGCAAAACAAACTGAAAATAATTTCATGTCTGGTGGTTAGAAGAAAGGGGAGATGGAGGTTTGGGTTAGGTGAAGTTTTGGTTGAGGCATCTGTGGAAAGTTCTGATTGGGTGAGTAAAGGCTCTGGCTTTGCACTTGTTTGGGAAAGTGCTCTCCAGGAAGCAGGCAGAGTTCATGCAAAGCCAAGATGCTAGCCCCGGATTCGCAGAGTGAGCACAGTTCTCACCACACAGGGAGTAAGAGGGAGTTTATTCTGAGCCCAGTGCCAGTGAGTGGCCCTTTGAAGTGGCCATCTTTAACACAGGTGTAGCTTTTTCCAGGGAACTGCCATTCACACGGAACAGAATCTCAGGGTCAAGCAGCCGAGAATGAGGGAGAAGAGCCAAGGCAGGCAGTGTAGATTCTTAGAGAATGATACAGGAGCCTGAGTTTTCTCTGAAACGAGGCTCACGGAGGGCTTGCATAATCTGACCTTTAGCCCATGAGTGTCTGATTATGATGAGACATGGAATGCAGTAGGGGTATGAGTGCAGTTGGTGGTTTTTTGTTTGTTTTTTTTAACTCTTTACTCTTTTGGGGGGCCTGTTACCCAGCTCCCAAACAAACCACACACACAGAGTTTTATTCTTTTTTATGAATGCTGGGCCTTAGCTTGGCTTGTTTCTTTCCAGCTTTTCTTAACTTTAAAGTATCCCATCTACAGTTTGCCTCTGGCCTTTTTCCATTTCTCACATCTGTTTATCTTACTTTCACTCTCTCCTTGGCTGGGTTGCTGGCCCCTGATGTCCTCTCCTTGTTTTATCATCCCCCTACCCATTTCTCCTCCTATTTATTCTCTCTGCCTGTCAACCCTGCCTATCCTTTCTCCTATCTTGCTATTGGCCATTCAGCTGTTTATTAGACCACCAGGTGTTTTAAACAGGCAAGGAATCACAGCTTCACAGAGTTAAACAAATGTCCCACAGCATAAACAAAAGTAACACACCTTAAAATAATATTCTACAACACATGAGTATGAAAACACAGCAGTTGTCCAGGGGAGAGTTCCTTGGGGCTCAGTACGGGGAGAACCTCCAGGGCTTCTCCCTGGAGAGGTGTCTGAGATATACAAGTGGAGATACTGGGGGAGTGGGAATTGTAGGATATTGGGGGTATTTGGAGCTCAGACTGGAATGTTAAGCTAGGAATACATGTGTTAGTCAGCCTGCCATTACTGAAACAAAGAATCTGAACTAATGAATGTATAAAGATTAAAGGTTGACTTTGGCTCATGGTTTTGGAGGGTCCAGGCCATGGTTGGGCAGATCCATTGCTTTCAGGCTTTGATGAGGTGGGAGTGTATGCTGGAGTGAAACTGCTCACTACATCTCCTAGAAGCAGAAAGAGGGCAGGAGGAGTGTCCCACAGTGCCCTTCAAAGGCACACCTCCAAAGACCTAAGCACCTCTCACTAGGCCCCTTCTCCAAAGGGTTCCATCACCGCCCAATAGCACCACTCTGGGGACCAAGCCTTTAACACAAGAGCCTTTGTGGGATATTCAAGATGCAAAGCATCCAGGGCTAGGACTGTAGCTCAGCTGGTGGAGAGCTTGCCTAGCATTCAGGAAGTTCAATTCCCCAGCACTGCAGAAACCAAGTGTGCTGACTCAGGCTTGTAATAGCGGCATTCCAAGATGGAATTAGGAGGATCAGAAGCTTAAGGGCATCCAAGGCTACACAGTGGGTTTGCAGTCAGTTTGAGCTATGTAAGACCCTCTCTAATTATAAATAAATAAGTAACAAATAGACCCAAACTCCATCAGTGGCATTTAGAATCCAGGGATGGGTGTTATCCTATCAGAAGAAAATGTAGAGGAGACAGAAACACTGGTTCTTCGCTTCCTGGCGGGGTTTACCTTTGTCATTGCTTCATGGCAGGTGGAATGAACAACGCCCCATCAACTTTGAATTGGGCTATGTGGAGGTCACCTTTCACCATGTGACAAATACAATAAACAATCTAAAATATGGGAAAATGTGTTTTGGCTCATGGTTTCAGAGGATTTGTTCAGTTGGCAGGCTCTGTTGCTTTGGGCCAGAGGTGAAGCAAACATTCTACTAGCTAGACCAGGAAGCAGAGAGCCAGAGCCAGAGACAAACCCCACCCCATAAACCCCCTGTGACCCACTTCATTGAACTAGGCCCCGCCCCTTAGCAGCACGGTCAAGTTCTAAACCTCCCAGAGGAATTATCCATTGCCTAAGTCCAAGTCCTCAGGATCCAATAGGTTCTCCAAAGCTCAGCACCTCTCAGTCAAGCCTTTCACACACCACTCTTTGGGGGACATTTCAGATGTAAACCTAAATGCTGGCCATATGCTACCCTGCACAGCTAATGCTGGGAGATTCCGTGCCTGTGTGGGTTAGCAGCTCATGCCTCCGCTAGAAGAACACTCTCAGGGGAGCTGGGCTCTTCTTCCTGAATAAGATCCAGGGGCCAGACGTGCCCCAGCTGTCCTACAAATTCCCAGCCTCAAGCAGTGGCAGCTGGCTTGCCCTGAGGACAATAAAGAAGCCTTTAGCCAGGTGCAGTGCACAAGCCTGTAATCCCTGCTTTTGGGAAGCTGAAGCAGGAGGAATTCAAGGCCAGCTGCGGCTAAATGGTGAGTCTGTCTCAAAAGCAAAACACAATAAAAATGGAAGGGAGAAAGGAAGAAAAGAAAAACAAGCATCTTCTTTTTCCCCCATGCAGGGCCATTCGCCCTCTCTCCTCAGATCTCACTACACAAGGTGGGGAATTTGGACATGTCCATAGCAGTGGTAACCCAGGAATGCTCCATGCTTGCCAGGCATTCTCATTCGGTTCTAATCCCTCCTGCAGTAAGTGTTTCCATGGAGGAAGCCCAGGTTTAGAAAGTGAGTCTGACTTGGAAGGGTTGTCCTTCCTGGGGCCAAGCAGGGAAGGAGAGCAAACACAGCCATCTGGAAACCCATGGGAGGGAGACTTGTTTTTCACTGGGTGCTTTGTGTTCCTGTTGAGTTCCACACCAGGTGTACCCGTTATCGGCACACATGTGGGACGAATGCACACATGTGGGGCACATGCACACCACATGTGGGACGCATGCACACACGGGCACACAGCCTGGGAAGGTGATGTGGGTGGCATCCTTGTAGAGAGAATCCATCTTTGAGGGGCATTCAGTTCTGTGGTAGAGGGAAGTCACTCGGCATCTGCATTTTCAGTATTTCCCTCCAATTCGATTTCATGCCCTCCCCCAGGACTCCTTTGGAGGGAGAATTATAGATGGGAATTCTAGAAGAGGATTTAAGGTCAAAAAAGGCCAAAACCCCCAAAACAAACAAGCAAAAAACTAAAAGCAAAAGTTCCCTATCTTTAAATATTTATCTATTTATTTTCTGTGTATGACTGCTCTATCGACTTTATGCAAGAACAACCAGACCCTGATTGCCTGGAGTCTGGGTCTGATAACTCCTTAAAATAGAGGCTGCCACAGCGTGACCTGGGGCACCTCACCCCAAAACCTGCCTCAGTAGGACAAAGCTAAACAAAGAAACCCTGTCTGGAAAAAAACCAACCAACCAAACCAAACAAGAACAAAATACATGTCCCCTCATTTTTTTTTTTTTTTTTTTGTTTCTCAATGTAACCTTGGCTGTCCTGGAACTTGCTCTGCAGATCAGGCTGGCCTCGAACTCACAAAGATACATCTGCTTCTGCCTCCTGAGTGCTGGGCCCCACACAATGGCTTTCTCAATAAAACTGATAAAACCGGGAGACTTAAAACCTTTTATACAAGGGTCTGAGTCCCTGTCCTGGTATGACTCCCTCTGAGAATTCGCCAGCTGTGTTTCTCTCTCCCACAGCGTGTATATACTCTATTAAAACTCTTACATGCATTCTGACCTGTTTTACCCCCAAACTTTGGGCTGAGTCTTCCAGCGTCCGAGCATAACAGAGTCTGCTCCAGAGAAGACAGTCGGAGCCATGCATGTGGGCCTCCTGGGGGTCTGGGCGTTCTGGGGTGCATACTCCCCTTTCTCAGTGCAGAATAAAGAGACCCACAGGTAGAGAGTGGTGACTTCCACTGAGATGCCTGAGAGGAGACACCAGCTTCAAAGGCTCCCCAAAGCCTGAAGTTCTCTCTGTGGGAAGTGCTGACTAATAGTGACCAAATTGAGCATGGGCCTCATTGGTCTTTCGGGCACAGTAGAGATGAAGTTCAGGTCTGACCACACTATCGCCTGTCTTTTGGTCTTTCGGTTTCCCATCTAGGGAAGAAGTTGATGGGAGTGGAGAGAGTGTGTTTCTGTAAGGTCCCTATGCCGGGATGGGGAGGTGCAGAGGAGTGAGCACAGAGGTTTGGAAAGGTGAGCTCACTATGACCTCAGTGTCTGCAACTTTGGTTTGTTCGCGATTGTTTTCCTTCTGGTTGGGATATAGGGAAGTGTTTGAAAATTCCTCTAACAGTAATGCAGGATGGGAGATGGTAAACAAATATGGGTGAAATACGGCGACCGGAGCAGTAGGCGGGCTAGTGAGACTAGAAAGGGCTGCACCTGCGCTGGTAGAAAAGACTAGCTCTTCTTTCAACTCGGCATCCCCCAGAGACTAGGACAATTGGAGTAAACCGGAGGGTCAGACTCGCAAGCAGACAAAACGAACATCTGCATTTGAAATGGGTTCCCACCCAGGGATCTACTGAGAGGCTTGCTGCGAGATCTGCCTGCTGAGAAGCTCCTCCAGGAGAGAAACGCATCCTAAAAAGCCCAGGCAGGCCCCCGGGCCCACGGCCCCAAGGTCCAGGAGAGGCCCCCAAAGAAAACCCTTGCAAAAGCCAGTAGACGGGAGAGCAGGACCCCCACCCCTCACCCTAGACTTTTCTATTTTGTTCAAGGTCACCTCTAAATGGGACTGGAATAAACCCTCCTTGTTTGCTTCTCTCTGGGCCTAAGCCCCGGGTCCCCTTGGGTGTCGTCCAGGATGCCAGGCGTGGCTGCTAACAATGGCGTCCAGACGACAGATGGCGGGCGAGCGGGCGGGGCCGCGGGGCAGGTGCGCGGGGAGCGGCGTAGCGCCGGACGCCGGGCTGCCAGGGTGAAAAGATCCGCAGCCCGCGGGGGGCCTCTGTGCCCGGGAACAATGAGATAATTCTCCACCGCGACCGAACTCACCCTCCGGGTGGGGTGGGGGAGCCTCGGCCACGCGCCAGCGGGTGAGAGCCGGTTTCTGTGCAGCGCTGATCCCCCGCAGCGCCTTTCACGCCTCGCCCCCCCCTTCCGCCCCGGGAGCTCCAGGCTCCTGCACACATTCGTGCACACGCTCAGCACACTCCGGGGTGGGGGTGGGGGGCTAAGGGGATGGGCGGGGGAGATGGCAGTGACTAAACAGACTTCTGCAGAAGGCTGTGTTTTGTTTTTATGGTGCTGAGGACCGTACACCCCCCCCCCCACCAGACCTCGCTTCCTAGGAGCTCCAGCAAGCATTTGGGTTTGAATGAAGAGTTCAGCATCTTAAGTCACTAGAGCCTCGGTGTCAGCAGGGCACACTCAGAGAATGCTGAAACCACGTGGGGAGGATTACGGCTCTGCCATTTGGAGGGGATGGGAAGGATGTGTGCTAGGTTGGTGAGCTCCAGTGCCAACCATTTTATTAAACTCAATCCCTCCGCTCTTTGCTTTATTTTAAATCCCAAACTGACATAATAAACAGTCAGAGGCAGTGTCCTCGGACCATCCCCTGAGACTGGAACTTTCACGGAGTTAGGAAGGCATTTTTATGAGCCAATTGTCCCCAATAGAGTCCGTTGGAGTTATTGAGCCACGAGTCAGGCCCGTTGGGCATTCAGGCAGGACCAACCTAGGAGGGCAGGATGCCGTTGTCGGGGAAAACCTAAAAGCAGTTCCTAGGGCTGCTGCTTTGAAGCAGGAGAGTGCTGGCTGAGTCTTTAGGAAGTGCCACAGTGAGTACCTCTCCCAAAGGTGAGAATCAAAAACTTACACAGCCAAAGCACACCATCATTTTTCTCCTTTTGTTAGCTTTTTGATGACCAGCATTTAGACCTGGGGCACAGGTTGTCACAACCAAGTTCCATAACATGGTTTCCTTTTCCTGTACATCCAAGTGAATTTCTGCCACTCTTGAGAAAAACAGTTATAGGGCTAACTGTTCACCCACGAGTTCAGGCAACATTGGCAAGGCTTAGGCAAGCATCGAGAAGTGGGATCGTGTTACTTAGGGTTTCTATTGCTGTGATAAAGGCCATGACCAAAAGCAACTCAGGGAGGCAAGGGTTTATGTGGCTTACATATCCCAGGTCACAGTTCATTGAGGAAAGCCAAGTTGGGAATTAACTTCAGTAAACTGGAGGCGAGAACTGAAACGGAAGCCAAGGAAGAACTCTGCTTACTGGCTTACTGGGACCACTGCCCAGGGATGGCACCGCCCACAGTGGTGGTGGTGGGGGCATTTGAGCTATTCTGTATCAATCAAGAAAATGCCTCACAGACTTGCCTACAGGCCAATCTGATGGGGGCATTTTCTCAACTGAAGTTCCCTCTTCTCAGATGACTCTAGCTCTGTCAAGGTGACAAAAACCAGCCAGAACAGGACCTGAGGGAGAACTTGCTTTAAAATTGTGGAGAAACCTGGGGCCCTAGGAGAAAGGCTACCATTGCGTTCCTTGAAGACATCAGCATTCTGTGTCCCATCACAGAACTGAGAAGTTGTAACAGTAGGCTAAGTTCCCTTGTTCTTGAGGTTGGGAGACTAGAAGCAAGGCCAGGGGAACATTTTCCAGATGCTTTTGTGGGAGATGGGCAGCATGCCAACATCTACTACACAGCCTTGCATGCTTGCAGTTTCCATGGTCAGGGTGTACTATCCTCTCTCATACTGATAGGAAAATCATGCTGGGCCGGGGGGAGGCTCCAGTGCTCAGACCTGAACCTCAGCGAACTTGGAGAAAAAGAGGGTGTTTAGGAGGGACAGATACACTCCCAGTGACATAAAGCTTCCAAAAGAGGCAGATGATGAACCTATGGGAGGCGGGGAGGTGGGAGGTGGCCTCTGTGGGTATTTATATAGAGTAAGAATATGGCGCTAAAAGAGCGACTTCCCAGTTATGCGGTGGGCACATCGGATGAAAGAGAAAATGGTCATCATTATGCTGCTCAGAAGCTAAGATGACTATTAGCATACCAAAGCACATGCTGGCCTCCAGGCTCCTTCAGTATCTCAAGTACCAGTTACACATTTCAAAGGCCATGCTAGCATCCTAGCTGTTCTCACCTTCTTCCCCATCCCAAACTCCCCCCAGCTCACCGGCTTCCCTTCCTGCAGCTACTCCTTTCCTTATAGCCCTGCTATTCTTTATATGTCCCCATCACTATCCCTGTCTCCCTCTGTTTCTCTTTGCTCTGCTCCTGCTTCTCTCATGGCCAGGTCCAGTCTGCTAGCTACTCCTTTTCCTCTCTGCCCTGGACCCTTCCAGATGCCCTACCTGTTCTCTCCCTCACAGTTACAATGAAGACCACCCTCCCCCTTAACCACACCTTGGAACAGCCAAGTTTATGCAAGGAGGTGAGGTCTGTTGGTTTTGCTCCTCTTTTGCTGGCCAAAACAATTCACGTGGCCTGAAGCCAGTGGGGCTGGGAATGTATGCTCCATCTTCAGTGAAACCATAGAAAAGGCAGGGGTGGAGTGTGGGAGAATGAGCAGATTACAACTATGCACAGACACACCCATTTGTTAGCCTCTGTGACTTCAACAGCAAACCTTACTATTTAATGCAAACACAAAAACTGATTAGCAAATGTGCTATTCAGCTTTGGTAAAGAAATAACTTGGGAAGGGAGTCTCAATTAGGAATTACCTATAGGAATTATGTATAACTGGGTTAGCTTGTGGGCTTGTCTTATCAAGTGAATTTATATGGGGTTATCTAGACTATTATGGGTAGCACCATTATCTAGGCAGACGGTTCTAAACTGTGTAAGAGAGAACCCAGCTGATCCCGTTGAGTAAGTGAGCATGCATGCACGCGCTACTCTCTGCTCTTGACTATGGATGTGGTATGACCAGCTGCTTCAAGTTCCTGCCACTTTTACATCCCCACACTGATGGGACATAACCTGGAATTATGGGCTAAATAAAGCCTTTCACTTTTTGTCTGGGCATTTTATCACAGCTGCAGAAATGAGACCCAGACAGCAAAACAAGAAAGTCATCCTCCATTTTGTTTATGTAACTGTTTTCCCACTAAGGAATCTGTATTCTTTTGTTAAGTGTTGTTCTTAAATAAAAATTCTAAAAGTATACACTAGAAAATGAAATGTAAAGAGTGTGGTGCCACATGCCTTTAATCCTAGTACTTGGGAGGCAGAAGCAGACAGATCTCTGTGAGTTCAAGGCCAGCCTGGTCCACATAGTCCCAGGATAGCCAGAGCTACATAGATTTCTTTATTTTTATTTTACATGTTTGCATGTTTGTCTGCAAGCATGTATGTGCACTGTGTGTGTGTGTGTGTGCCTGTACCCATGAAGGCCAGAAGAGGGTATCATATCCCACAAAGACCCAACACCTATAACTGACTACTGACTGACTATACAGGGTCAGGATTTTTTTCTTTCTTTTTTAGATGGGATTTCTCTGTGTAGCCCTGGCTGTCCTGGAATTCTCTCTGTAGATCAGGCTGGCCTTGGACTCACAGAGATCCAACTGTTTCTGCCTCCCAAGAGCTGGGATGAAAGGTGTGCACTGGATCAATGTCAGGATTTAATGCCTAGAAAATAGTAAACGTGTAAGTTACTAAATGTAGCAAGCAAATAGGTCTTAGCAAAATATTATTTTGTAAATTAAAAATTTTTGAGGATTTTATATGTGGGCACTCTACTTATATCTTTCCTAACTCTCTTCCTTCGCTTTCCAACTTCTCCCATGACCCGCTACTTCTTGTAAATTCATGATCTCATCTGTTATAGTTATTATTGTCTCACACACACGGTATATACAACCTAATTAATCCATCTATTTTTGCTTGTGTGTTCAGGGTTGACCACTTGGGACCTAATGAGGGGATTGTCAGTGGAGAAAACCGATTCTACCTCTCTATGTTTTGTTTGTTTGTTTTGTTTTGTTTTTCAAAACAGGGTTTCTCTGTATTGTTTTGGAGGCTGTCCTAGAACTTGTTCTGTAGACCAGGCTGGCCTGGAACTGAATGTTTTGTTTATTCATATTGATTTGCATGCATGTTGGTGTGTGGGTGCACTAGGTTGTGCAGGAGGATATGGAGACCGGAGGTCACCGTTAGGTGTCCTCCTCAACCTCTTACCAGCTTAGTTTTACACGAATGAATACCATTTTATAACTTAAAGTGTCAATGATTGAAAAACAAAAACACAGTGGCTGGAGAGATGACTCAGAGGTTAAGAGCACTCACTGGCTGTTCTTCCAGAGGACCCAGGTTCAATTCCCAGCACCCACACGGCAGCTCACAACTCCAGTTCCAGGGGAATGTGACATACATCTGCACACCTACATGCAGGTAAAACACCAATACATATTTTAAAAATTAAATAAAATCTAGCACAGCTCTTGCATTTAAAAAGTGAAACTGCATCCTATGTTCCTATTGAAGTAAACAGATTGAACTTATGTCTTTGAAGTGTTTATTAATTAATTGACTTATTTATGTTTATTTTATGTGCATTAGTGTTTTGCTTGCATGTTTGCCTGTGTGAACATGGCTGTTTCACTAGACTGGCTGGCATAGGGCAACAGATTTGCCTGTCTCCACCCCTCCAGTGCTGGGGTTACAGTCACATGATGCAGTATATGGGAGCTGGGGTTCTGAACTCGGGTTCTTATTCTTGCAGAGTAAGTAGTTTTACCCACTGAGCCATCTTCCTAGCCTCCCATGTGCCAATGCTAAGAAGAAGCACAAGGCCTCCAGGGAATCAAGCAATCTCAGGTGTGTGTTCTTGGATTTCCCAGTCTCCAGAACCAAAGCCAAAGCAAACCTTTTCTTGTCATAAATGACCAGCTATAACAACACAAAATAGGCTTAGGTATAGATACTGCAAAGATTTGGTAAAATTTAGTAACTACTCCTAAAAAAATTACTTCAAAAAATTATTCCAGCTGGGAGTTGGTGGCACATGCCTTTAATCCCAGCACTCGGGAGGCAGAGGCAGGTGGATCTCTGTGAGTTCCAGGCCAGCCTGGTCTACATGAGCTAGTTCCAGGACAGCCTCCAAAGCCACAGAGAAACCCTGTCTCAAAGCCCCTACCCCCCCCCCCCAAAAAAAGAAAAAAAATACTCCATAATAAAATAGAAATAGAAGGAAAACTACTTAAAACTACTAAGAAACCATTATAAGGACTATTTACCAAGATCCAATAGGAAAAGTTATTCTAAAATATGAGAAATTAAAATAATTTCAATTAGGGCTGGAGAGATGCTTAGGGGGGTTGGAAGCACTGGCTGCTCTTCCAGAGGTCCTGAATTCAATTCCCAGCAACCACACGGTGGCTTACAACCATCTACAATGAGATCTGGTGCCCTCTTCTGGTGTGCAGGCACACATGCAGACAGAACACTGTACACATAATAAATAAGTAAATCTTAAAAAATAGCTTCAATTAAAATTAGCAAACTGACAAGGATTCTTGCTGTCACCACAGCTATCCAACTAAATGTTGGGGGTCCTTTCCTGTTTATTTGTTTTGTCTTTGTCTTTGAGGCAGGGTCTCATGATGTAACTGGCTTCGAATTTGCAGTTGAGGACAACCTTGAACTCCTGCTCTTTCTCCCTCTACCTCCAAAGTGCTGAGGCTACAGGTGTGTGTCGCCATGCTGGACTGGAGGGTATAACTAATGCAGTAATACGGGCCATGTTGTCATTCACCCAAAATAGCCAGAAGACTCTAAGATTCCTGGAATTAAGAACACAGTCTGGTAGGCAGTTTGACAGATGATATGTGTATCTAAATAGTTCTTCCTTGTTTTGGCAATAAGCACCTAGAAATGGAAGCAGGAAAACATTTTCTTTATAAGGCTAGCAAAAATCACACGGTGCCTAGAATAAATTTAGCTAGAAGAAAATACATTCTCTTTGTAGAAAACTATGAAATCCTATTGAAATCCCCCCTTTTTTGGAGGGATATAATGTCATAAGCAACAATTTGTTCCTAAATTAATATATATATGTGATGGATTATATTGCCATAGGAATATGTTAGTGGAATAAAATGGTGGCAATGATTCCAAGGAATAATAAACACCCCCCAAATGGGTAAGAAGATTACATATAAAAAAGAATAGGCTGGATATGGTGGCATACACCTTTAATCTCAGAACTTGGGATACAGAGGCAAGTAGTTCTATGTGAGTTCAAGGCCAGCCCAGTCTAAATAGAGAGTTCCAGAACAGCTACAACTGTTTAGAGAGAGCCTGTCTAGAAAGGAGGAGGAGGAGGATGAAGAGAAAAAGAATAGGTGAAGAATGAAGGGAGTCTGCCTTTAACAGATACCAAAAGACATGAGTTCACCTAAATAAAGTCATTACCATACTGGCACAGGCAGAGACAGAAAACCGTAAATAGATAATCCGTAAATAGATCTAGATCCCATGAGAACTAGTTATGATTAAATAGGCTTATTATTAATCCAGTGGCATATGGAATATGTTATTGATAGCACAAGCCATGTGCCAGGAAAAAGCAAAAATTTGACAGAACTTCTTATACCATATAAAATAAATTGAGGGGAGCTGGAGTGGTGACTCTGTGGTTCGGGGTGATCGTCGCTCGCTCTTGCAGAGACTGGAGTTCAGTTAGGGGTGATCGTCGCTCTGGCAGAGACTTCAGCACTGATGATGGGCAGTTCACAAACTATAACTCCAGTTCCATGGGACCCACCTGCCAGCACCTGTACACACACACACACACACACACACACACACACACACACACACAATTAAAAAGAGAATACTTAAAAAAAAAAACAAGTTCAGATTGATCAGAGATAACTAAGGAATTTTGACAAGGAAATCTAGAATATCCTTCACAGAAAGTAGGACAGTTTAGTCCCAGCCCTCAGGAGGCAGAGGCAGGTGGATTGTTGAGTTCGGGGCCCGGTTGGTCTACAGAGTGTGTTCCAGGACAACCAGGGCTACACTAGAAACCCTGCCTTGAAATCTTTTTTTTTTCTTTTCTTTTTGAGACAGGGTTTCTCTGTGGCTTTGGAGCCTATCCTGGAGCTTGCTCTGTAGACCAGGCTGGTCTCAAACTCACAGAGATCCACCTGCTCTGCCTCCCCAGTGCTGGGATTAAAGGCATGTGCCACCACCACTGCCCGGCTAAGACAGTTCTTTTTAAACAGGGAAAGCTAGAAGAGATAGACTTATGTTTTAGAAATAATTTTCTTTCTTTTTTGAAAAAACTATTGCCTGTGTTGTATATATGCAAGAGGAGGTCAGAGGAGTATCAGATCACCTGGAGTAACAGACAGTTGTGAGCTGCCTGATATGGGTGGGTGCTGAGAATTGAACTCAGGCCATCTGCAAGAAGCATGTGTGTTCTTAACCACTGAGCCATGTCTTCAGCCAATTTTCTTTTTCTTTAAAAAAAACTTTTATTTTAGCCGGGCATTGGTGGCACACACCTTTAATCCCAGCACTGGGGAGGCAGAGGCAGGCAGATCTCTGTTAGTTCAAGGCCAGCCTAGTCTACAGAGCAAGTTCCAGGACAGCCTCCAAAACAATACAGAGAAACCCTGTCTCTAAAAAAACCAAAGACCACTTTTATTTTACTATGTATGTGGGTGTTTGGCCTGCATCTACATCTTATGCACCCCATGTGCACGGTGACTTAGACGCCAGAAGACAGTGTTGAATTCCTTGGCACTGGAGTTACAGATGGTTGTGAGCTAAATGTGGGTGTTGGGAATACAACCGGATCTTCTGGAAGATCACCCAGTACCTCTAAGCCATCTCTTTAACCCCAAAGGTAGACTTATTTCCTATAAAAAGGCATAGAGATTTAGCATAGCTACATATACTTCAGATAACACATTATGCCATTGTATCTGTAAATGGTGTTTTAAAATATTATCATGTATTTGCCCGAAAGTTAACAGGTACAATATGTTAATATATTAAACTGATAAATAATGATGACCCGATAGAAAAATAAAATGAGCTGGGTATGGTGGCACCGGCCAGTAATCCCAGCACTTGGGAGGGAGAGGTAGGGACATCTAGAGCTCAAGATTTGGGGCTGGAGAGGTGGCTCAGCAGTTTAGAGCACTGGCTGCTTTACCAGAGGACCCAGGTTCCCCGCACCCTCATAGCGGCTCACAACAGTTGTAACTCCATTTCTAGGGGACCCAGCAGCATCCTCTTCTGGCCTCAGTGAACACCAGGTATGCAAGCGATGTGCAGACACACATGCATGGCAAAACGCCCATACACATACAATAAAAAAATTAAAAATTCAAAGAGCCCAAGTTCATCCTCAGCTACATAGCAAGCTGGAGACCAGTCTGGGCATGAGACTGTATCCTCAATAAATAAATAAATAAACAACAAATAAACAAGGAAGGAACAAAAAGAGAGAAGGAATCTAAGGGAAAGCGCTTGGGGTACAAGATTGACAAGCTGAGTTTAATCCCCAGAACCAGCTAAACCTGGATCCAGCTTGTACCCCGCCTTCCACTGTGGTGCCTCATCATAGGCCTTCACACACAACATGTATGTGTATGTGCGTGCACAAAAGCGGATGAGCATTAAAAAAGAGGAGCGGCGGCAGTGGACTCAGAAAGGTTCCTCGGAAGCGTTTTGAAATGAAGAAAGTGGAATTCAGGACAGTAGGTACGAAAACCTATAGCATCTTTGTGGAATACATAGTATTAGAGCCCATGTGTGCACTCAGTTGCTTTTGAAAGGGAAAGAAGTCTGTCACAATTTTTCAAATAAACAGGACCAGAAATTGTCATATATGAACATGGTCTGTTTCCAACATGTACCTGGACGGATAACAAAAGCAGCTGGTGGCGGTTCACTTACAAGACACGCGCCCAGTTCCATTGTTTTCGACCCAGCAGCCTCTGCAGGCACCTGAGGATTCCTTGCTTCAGGTCTTTCTACACCGGGGAGAAGCTAATCAGACGGGTTTCCTTAAATCCCGCTTTCACCCTTAATGCCTGCTTTTTGTTTTGTTTTTTCTTTTTTTGTTGGCTCCAATTTAAAGAAAGAAATCTTGGAAACTAACAAAACAGCAACAAACGAACAAAATCAACCCATTTTCACCATAATTAGAAAATGAGATATGTATGAAATGACTAGGAAGCAGGAAAAAATGTTTTTAGCTGGGCTGGTGAGACGGCTCAGTTGTTGAAGGGGCTTGCTGCCAACCAAGCCTAACCACCTGAGTCTGATACCTGGGACCCACATGGGAGACGGAGGACCACGTACAGCAAGTTGTCCTGTGGCCTCCCTATGCACATGCCCACAGCCATCCACCCATACCCACACACAATAGATAAATACAGTCTTCCTTTGCCTGGCATGAGAGGCTCTTCCACCCTGAGTGATATTTAAGGACCAAAAGATGTTTGCCTTCTCGGGGCTGTTTGATGCTCTCTACTCAGACACCATCTTACAACCCCAGGCAGCACAGCCCCAACACCAAGTCAAAAGCTCATTGAGTCTAAGCCTTATTTCTCCAGCTGGTACCCCAGATCCAGGGAAGGTGTGGCTCCTCCTGCCAGCCCAGACATCCGGCTGGTGCTGTGTTCCTTAAACTACTGGACTGGCTCTTCCACGTAGATATTTTGAAGAAGAGAAATCAGGAGACGACGCTCTGGTCTCTGCTTGACTGGTCACTGAAAATAAGTCACTGCTCCCTTCCTTTCCCTCACTTAAAAGAATGATCTCATGTGTGGAGGAACTAAAGTAGGTGTTCAAAAGACAGCTCGGGATAGGTAAAGGGCCTTGGAAGTGAAAAGGGCCCATCAAGAGGCCGTTTAAAGCATCTTGTCTTGTTTCTCAAGGCTGGGAAGGATAGTAAGAATAGAATTGAGGGAAGCTTGCTTCCAAAGTGGTGGCCGGTAATTATAAAGCGATGGTTATCTGTGGTTCCCAGGAAGTGTGCAAATTATAGAGTGTCAGTTGCATCTGAGTTGCTCCTGAGAAAAACAATTAGGGGCATTTGACACCTGGACACACCTGGGCTCACCTGCCCCCACTTAGGCTGAGGTAGTTTTGTCTCAGGGTCTCCTGAAGACCCCAGTCATTGGGTAGAACTTAGTCACTTACCTTCCCTGACTCTGTCTGGGCACACACCTGCCCCACCCCAGGCTGAGGCAGTTTTGTCTCCTTCCCTGACTCTTGTGTGGAGGTTGCTGTTCACCGGTCCCCCTCTGCCTTCTCTATGGCTCCAGAGGGATGAAATGGCAAGAAAGTCAACACGAATGAGGTCATGGAAAGCAGATGCTGGGTCCACGCTCTTCACACAAGGCGGCCTTTCATTTCCTTGGAAAATCCCACCGCAGGGCCCCCATGGAGAAATGGTTGCCCCCAGGACTCCTGTTTACTTAGCGCTGGCCTGGGAGGCCGGGGCTGGCTGACACAAGCAACACCCTTTTTTTAAGCCACACTGACCTCAGGTTGGCAGAGTACAGAAATAAGAGTTTGTGTGAGGGGCTCCTGCTGGGGAAGCCCGTGGAATTTTCCTGCAGCCATTTTGACTGCCACAGGAGCAGCTGTTTGGCTTACAGTTGTCTTGATGTGGGGACATTGAGTCAGCCCAAACCTAACTATAAACTTCAGCCTTCTTTTTTTTTTAAGAGCACAGTTACCTTTATCCCACTCTTGAGCCTCATCCTTGTTGATCTTTATGATTAAATAATATCCCATAATAATATACCACAATTTCTTCCTTCATCCATTGACAGATGTCCAGGCTATGGTGAACAGTGTCACAGCAAGCATCAATGTTCAGAGACCTCTAAAGCAGTGGTTCTCAACCTGCGGGGCGTGACCCCTTTGGAGTTGAATGACGCTTTCACAGGGGCTGCCTCTGACCATTGGAAAATACAGGTATTTACATTACAATGCGTAACAGTGGCAAAATCATAGTTATGAAGTAGCGATGAAATGATTTTTACGGTTGGGGTCACCACAATATAGGAACTGTGTTAAAGGGTGACAGCATTAGGAAGGTTGAGAACCGCTGCTCTAAAGTAAGCTGACTTGGATCCTTTTGGATGTATTTCTAGGTATGGTAGCTGGATCCTATAGCAATTCTATTTTTCTTCCTCCCTTCCTCCCTTCCTCCCTTTCTTCCTCCCTCCCTCCCTCCCTCCCTCCCTCCCTCCCTCCCTCCCTCCCTCCCTCCCTCCCTCCCTCCCTTCCTTCCTTCCTTCCTTTCTCTCTTTTTTTTTGAGGTACCCTACACCAGTTCCCGTAGTGAATGGACTAATTCACTTTTCAGCCAACAGTGTATAAAAGCTTCTTTACTTCTGTGGCTTCATCAGCACCCACACCTTTGATTATAGCCGTTCTGACTGGGGTGAAAGGGAATCGCAATGCAGTTTTGATCTGCATTTCCCCAATAGTTAAATATACTGATCCCACCCCCATGTGTTTATTGTATTTCCGTTTAAGTACTCAGGTCATTTCCCCCACGTTGGCTGGGTTACTTGTTCTTTTGTTGTTAAGTTTATATATTCTGAATATTAACCCTTTGGAAGATGAGCAGCGGACAAAGATCATATAGCTGAAACTGTCCTTGAGCTTGTGACGTAGCCTTGAATCCTCTGTCCTCAGGCCTCAGCTTCCTGAGTGCCAGGGTTCCAGACCCGCATCACCACACCCAGCTCTAAATGTGAACAGCTCAGAGCTAAAGCTTCCTTTAGAACGGCTTTTGCCAAACCCTCTGCTTCTGATAGGCTCTATTTCTGGGTTCTTTTGATCTAAGGATCTTTACATTTCTCTTCTGCTTTCTTTAATAACCACACAAGCATGTACTATGATAACCACATAATGAGCACAAAGCTTATTGCCCGTTGTTCGGTCTCCATGGGCTTGGTGGGTTTCTGTTGCTTTTGATTTTTTCATTACTTACAATGACCTAATAAGACCGTATGATTTCATCCTCTGTAGTGTTTAAGTCTTGCATTGTGGCTTAAAATAGGATCTGTTTTGAAGAAAATTCCGTGAGCTGCTGAAAAGAATGTGCAGTTGTTGAACACACTGTCTACAAGTTCTGTAGATAGCTGTCGGTTAAATCCATGTGATCTGTAGTTTAGTTTAACATTACTCAGGTTTCTCTGCTGCTTTTGCGTGGAGGGTACAGGTGCTCTGTCTATTGATGTTGGTATAGTATCGGAGTCACCTATTGTTACATAGGTGTCTTTCTGTATCCCATAGTGTTGGTTTTATGTACCCACTGCACAAATTTTTATAATCACGTTATCTTCTGGATGGACTATTGTTCCTTTTATTAGTATGTGATGACTTTCCTGTCTTTCCTGATTGGTTTTGGCTTGATTTCTGCTCTGTCAGATCTGAGTGTAGCTGATCCTTTTTGCTTCCTGATTACATTTGTTGGGGATATTAATTTCCATTATTTTAATTTCAGTCTGTGTGGATCTTTGCCAGTGGATGAGGTGGGCATTTTGCAGACAGTAAATGCTTACATATCTTTTGAATATAACCACACCCTCTGGGTCTGTTAAGTGGAGAATTAAGACCATTTACATTTAGGGATATAATAGAAAGGTATGAGCTGATATCTGTCATTTGGTTTCTTTTTTTGTTTTTTTGTTTTTATGAGACAGGGTTTCTCTGTATTGTTTTGGAGGCTGTCGGTTCAGCCTGGCCTCGAACTCACAAAGATCCGCCTGCCTCTGCCTCCCGAGTGCTGGGATTAAAGGCGTGCGCCACCACCGCCCGGCTTGTCATTTGGTTTCTTAAGGTTTGATGTTTTCTTAATTTTTGTTGACTTGGTTGATCTTCTAGTGAGATTTCTTTCTTTCCTCTTGTGACTGCTTGCCTTCCTCTACAGCACATAGGATTCCCTTAAATGTCTTCCTCAGGGCTAGCTTAAGTGTCATGATACCTCTGGTGTTTTCTAAGTCTTAGAGGATCTTTGTTTCCAACTTAATTTGGAGAGAAAGCATTGATAGATATAGTAAACTAGATTGACAGTTCTTTTCTTCCAGGGCTTGAGAGATTTAATCTGTAATTTCTTGGCCTTCAGGATTTCTGCTGATACATATGATATCATCCTGATGGGACTGTCCTTGTAGGCAAGTTGGCACTTCTTCCTTGAAGCTTTGAATGTCCTTCCTTTGCTTCCTTCCTTCCTTTTTTTAGAGATTTATTATGTATACAGTGTTATGCCTGCACGTATGCCTGCACACCAGAAAAGGGCACCAGATCTCATTGCAGATGTTTGTGAGCCACCATGTGGTTGCTGGGAATTGAACTCAGGACCTCTGGAAGAGCAGCCAATGCTTTTCACCTCTGAGCCATCTCTCTAGCTCTCTTTCTCTGTTTTCTACTCTCAGCATTTTAACTACAGAATGGCTTAAGGAGGTTTTTTTCTGATCATGTCTCTTTGGGATTCCATATACCTTCCATACCTAATATCAATGATATATATAGAATATTAATATACACCCTTCTGTAAATACATCAGTGTTCACACATTAATTTCAAGCTTTTGCTTTGACATAACAAGATGCAGCTATACTTGTGAGAACAAAGTTGGTCTCAACAGCCGTCAAGATCAAAATGTGAAATTTCCTCTCACTATTGTAACTGACATCAGAATGAAGATATATAACTCCCATTATTAAATTAATTCTTGGCCATAGTCATTGTATCTACCCACGGATATAATAATTATTTCTCTAATTCAGTCTTACTCTCATATAACTATTTCATAACCTAAAACATTTCAGAGGTAACTATCAACATACTTTACATAAAATAAAGTGAGGAGAGCACACACACACACACACAGTCAGACACACACACACACACATAGAGTCAGACACACACACACACAGTCAGACACACACACACAGACACACATACAGATTCAGACACACACATACATAGAGTCAGACACACACAGATTCAGACACACACACACACATAGAGTCACACACACACACAGATTCAGACACACACACACATAGAGTCACACACACACAGTCAGACACACACACACACAGTCAGACACACACACACAGAGTCAGACACACACACACAGACACACACAGACACACACAGACACACAGACACACAGACACACACACACACACACACACACACACACACACACACACACACCCTGCTGCTATGTTCCTCATTGCCATGGCTGGACATGAGGTTCTGAAAGTGAATTTTGTAAGCAGAACTTATCTGTTGTTTCTTTCTTCTCTTACTCATCCAGTGTTCTTAGATGGCTGTAGTTCCTGACCTGGTGGGTTGACTCAACCTTTGTCCTGGGTCATGTAATCTCAGTAGCTCTTACCTTTTTCTGTTTGTACTTTCACCGTGGACAAAACGTAGTGCTCCTTGCAGCCACGGTGTAGCAAGATCCTGGCTTTCCCTTGGTTACTAGGTTCAGTCATTCTGCCTACAGAGCAAGCTCTATCTATGTTCTACTTGCTATCTCAGTGGCACAAGCATTCTCAAATGGCCAGTTGGCAGTCTGATGCTTCATTCTGATGAAATCCAAGAGCCTGTACCCTATTCTGACAAGAAACGTTTACCCCCTTGGCCTCACCTAAAGATCCTTTCCCTTCTTCATATAGACCTTCTTTTCCAGCCCTGGCTACTTTCCCTGCACTGACTCATCTCCCACTGCCTGTCAGTCTCCTTTTAAAGTCCCCTTACAGCTTGCCCTGCTGCATTCTTCAAGCTATCTGGGGCTCTGTCTATACAGGCCAGTCAATGGCTCTCCTTAATCTTTTGCAAGTTTCTTCAGTCCTGACCTATCCTTTCTTCTGGGTACCAGACAAAGGTACCATTTTGGTTCAAGATACTTCCTGGGGTGCCTCACACCTGGTCACAACAACCCCCATTCCACCCCAAGGCTCCTCAGATAAAGGCACTTGCTTGCACAAGCCTGAGGCCCTGAGTTCTTTCCTAGAGCCCCTGTAAAGGTGGAAGGACAGAAATAATGCCATGTGTCCTCTTGACCTCCACATGGGAGCCATGGCATACCTGCTGCATCTCCCTTCCACATCATACACACAAAACAACAACAGCAATAAACAAAAAGTCCTTTTGCTCTCAAGCAAGGACACTATGTGCCAACCGCAAGTGTGTGTTGTCAACTGTCCCTGCCATATTGGACATGAGACCCGCTTGCTTCTCTGGGAGTTTGCATCCATAGAGGTTGCCCTATGTCCA